ATTGCCGGCTATCATGTACGATTTCAATCTCGCAGTTAATAGTAATCACCCGAAACAACGATGCAATTTAGACGTACTTCGGAAAAACGGCGACGATGATAAGTGTATTAAGTGAATCTTGGAATATTCCATTAACGGGGAGAAATTCTTTTTTAACGAGAAAATTACAGTTTCCGCTCCGTGGCACACTTTTAAGTATTAATTACATTTTATTCGACTATGAAGATACGGTTTACGAAAATCTAATTTGATGATTAATTCAAACCCGATAATTGCTACTAAAAACGTGTGTAATTAAGCTCTTTCTAATTCTGTCGATAAGCACAGGAATTCTTTTATCGAATTCAGAGCAATTAATTCGAAGGTGTAATTATGGAAATATTTTTAAATGATTCTTTCATGAATATGTAAGAAACAATGAATTTTCCGGTGGTACCGAATAGAATTTAGTACAGTCGCGCCTAAAACGCTGCTGACAAAACCTGAGCGCACCCGAGGAAGCGGGATAAGCAGATGTTGACCCTGACCCACATAATCGTTAATGCATCGAGGTATGGTGGAAGACATCAACACACATAGTTACGGTGTAACATTTAGAGGAATATAAGAAACCGCTCGATTTTCTCCAGGTCGTTTGCAACATCTATATTCCCCGCCGCTTTGGTAAATTACGTGAGCGAAATTAATGAATTATTTCTATATTTTATACCGAGTAACCGTTTTCCAGCTATTTACATACATTATGCGTGTTCTATCAAGAGGAAAGTATGTCAGCCGCAGGTGTGACCATAGTTTTCTAACTTCAGCGCGATGTAGCTGCTCTTTCTGTATTGGAGAATCTCGCGAATGAAAATCATTCGACCAGAAGATACCGTACTATGATATTTGAATAATAACGCTAGATTATAATATTCATAGTATGCTAAATGATAGATATTTCCATTATTTAGAAGTTCGAGAAATCCTAAGAAATTTCTCGTTTTATACACGTTATATCTTTAGAATAATCTCATGATCACACAAATAATTCTCATTCACTAAAAAATACACAGAATCACAGAAAATCTCTAGAATCAATCGAATCTTCCATCATTTGACGATACCTACGATCGAAGGGAAACGGAGATACTCAAGCCTACTTTAGACACGATGGAGTCGTAACTCATTGTTCGTTAATCGTAATTGCTCGTCGGTGAACGCCTTCCAAGGTGGCACCATTAATTCTCTTTAAACTTTGTAATGGTTCCGCTCGTTACACACGGTCCAGCCTTCAGTTACGGTACCGTCGGTTCACTATTCATATGTACAGGGTGTTCTAACCTCGAACGGCTAAATCACAGGTGGAAAGAGGAAAAAACTGTTGTGCAAACTTCACCAGCGAATGATTTATAGACTCAGCTCTCGCAGTTCGTTTCAAACTGAGACACTGTGTATGTAATATACTTCCGTAATGGTCGTCCAACTGGGAAGAACGAATTTACATATAAAAACAAGTCAGAAATAAAATAATTTACTCGTGCAAGGAAAATTTATCCAAGGAAGAGTACCTAATACGCATGCATTGACATTTAAAAGTAGAAGCAGTGAGACACGGTCAGACATTAATCAATTCTCACTGAATAAAACAAGCGACCGAGAAATATTCAAACACGATTGTCGAGACGACAAACTATCGTATGAAATATTCTGTATCTTCTACTTAATCCTCCACATATTAGCTGCAATTCACTTCTGCTGACCTAAGTTTCGAGTGAAAATAGACGACACCCAAATGATGTGAACGCATTCAAATTCTTAACCCTTTGCACTCTAAACTATAAAAATTTTAAACTATAAAATTTAATGCTGTACCTTGTGTAACTCATCGATTTGAAAAATATTGAAATAAAATAGTTCCTCGATGTACGTTTGATTTATTTTCGAGTTACTTTCGCAAAATATCATCTTTCTCATCAGAAAGTGTTAAAATACTTCTAGTGAAAAATTCCCGAGTGTAAAAGGTTAAAGGAATGTAATTTATAATTATCTAAATGAAATGGTACGAACCTAAATGCTACGCCTAATGCACAAAATAATTTCCTGAGTTCTACTATCATTTTGGAAACATCCCGTATAGAACTTGTATTCCCGCGTGAGGTAAAGAGGGCTGATTATGCGCGACGCTCCGGGGCACAGGCCTCTGCATTCCGTTTCGGTGGGGTCTCGGTATCGTCCGGATAACGGTGAAAAAGCGTTTTCGTTCTCCAGACGATTTCTCGGCTCCGGAAACCAGGTTCCAGCGGGTACACGCTTGGAAATCGATTTCCATGTGGCTCGGTCGCGACAGGCTCGTGATAAGGATCCCGTCTGGCGTTTCCAAGGACGCCGGAGCTCGGATTAATAGGAAATGAAACTTTATCTGTCGTAAAACACGCGGAGAGGCTGCACCTCGACACCTCGCCGCAACGCGAAGGAAAGTCGCGTTCGTGTTAATTACTTCCGGCGGCCGCGTTAACGCCGGGAAACGCGGCGAGGAAATTTCTAGCTCGCTCGGGACTTTCCTTGTTTTTCTCTCTTCCTCTGGAGAAGTCGGTTTCTGGGAAGTTATTTCTGGAATTGAGTATCGAGCGAACGATGCTATGAAAGCACGGTGACTGCGAGTGGATTTGTCAGTGCTTCCGATAGTGAATGAATGAAGGAATGAATGGGGTTTTATGGCACTGTCAGTGTGATGGTTTGAATATGTTTGGAATTGCGTGTGTGTGAATGTTTGAGGAATTTGGTCATTGATTCATTGGTCTGTTTAGATTGTGTGTTTATTTTTTATTGAATTTTATGGGACTGTAATTGTTGAAATTGTTTGAATTAATAAAATTCTTGCAGCGAGGGAGAAACAATTTCGTCGGAACGACTTCGAAATTTCGGTTTACGTAAACGGAAATTTTTGTCTACAATCGAGTGAACAAACGAGAAAGTTAATTAACACCGCCTGCAATAGTTAATAAAAAGAGATACAGTAAATGGCTGCATGCGTGATGTAAATTATTCAATTACACAGATACACTGTTATTACTGTGCTCATCTTAATTAAAAAATTGCATGAATTCCTGGCGAAAATATCAATTCTTACGTAACCCTCGCGCGCACACTAACGATGAATTTTATTATGTAATGGAAAGGCTTTAT